TCCGATTCTCCCACTCTATTTATACAAAAACTTAACAGAAAAAAAAAACCTAACTCTTCCCTCGGATTGCTTATTCTCTCCTCTTTTTAACCCTTCGATTGCTCCTTTTTTTTTTCATTCACCGTTGATTGGATGGGACAAAGTTGACCCATTCCTCCGCCAACAAGCGCTGCTCTCTCTTCAGGTAAAGCAAAGGACAGGGAGGGCTGCGCTTTGGCTGATGTGAGAACTGAGGCCGTTTGGTCGGCAAGCGAACGGGAAAGGAAGATGGGGGTAAACAGATATGGTTGAGGTTTGGCCGAGAGTGGAGGGAGGGATGTGCTCGACAGTCGTTTTGGGATCGATTTGCACTTCAGTCCATACGTTTCTCCAAAGTGTCATTTTAGTCCTCAAATTTACTCCATATCGCATTTAAGTCCCAGCGAAATAGAACCTCCATTTTAAATTTTCTTCATTTGGTACAAAGCAACATTTTTTAGATTTAATCTCGATTTTTCTTTAAACAAAATTTTCAAGTTAATTTCTCACGTCATATTACAACTCAAATTTTTTACATTTTGATTTAAAACATAAGAATTTATGAGAAATTAATAATTTAAAAAGATCAAAGTTTTAGCAAAAATATCAAAAAAGGCAAAGCAAAAATGAGATAGTCAAATCTCTTATTTGCATTCTACACATTTTTTTATAGGATCAATACCCTAAACTAATTTTAATTACAATCAATACCCTCCATAATTTAAAACTTGTGAAAAACCTCAAATTGACCCTCCAAATTTAAAATTTGTAAAAAAACTCAAATTATCAACAAAATCACAGTACAAATAGAGGATTTAATTGTAAACTTAAGGTACAAAATAGAGGGTTTGACCCATTAATTTTTAAGTTTTTCACAAATTTTAAATAATAAAGGGTGTTGATTGAGATAAAAATTAATTTAAGATATCAACTGCAAAAAGAAAATATTTGTAGGATGCAAATAGCACCTTTGGCCAAATTGGATTATGACAGGAACTAACGCACCTTGTGCCTTCCAACTTTTGGAAATGGGAAAGTAACCAGATTAAAGAAACCAAAACCCTTCACATAACAAAGGACACCAGTCTTTGTTTCTTGTAAGTTATAAAGCCAAGGAACCAATATGAAATTGATTACAAAGTTGATGGATTAGGAGGGCAGTCTATGTAAAATACTACTGAAATTATTGGAGTTCTGGCAATAATTAGTTTGATGCAAACAAGAGTTTGCAATTCACAGATAGAAAAATAGCACGAAGAATTTGATATGTTTTACAGGAAGAAAATTGAGTAGGTAATCCACCAAGGTAACAATACAAGATTATGACACAATATTCAGTGCTACTAGCTGTGAACATGCGTTTACCTAGAAATGCATTTGGAGTCGACCATTATGATCTAGCATCAAGCGACATAGTTGGTGCGGTTGCTAGACTTATACTACCATGATTTGGAGCTGGCAATTCGGAAGGAACAAAAGTAGGCTTGGGAGGCATTTCAAGGAGCTCAATTTCACTTTCAAGCATCTCTAAAACTTTGGTCATAGAAGGACGAATGGCAGGTTTCATTTGTATACACCATAAGGCAACTATGGCCATCTTCATCAGAACATTCTTTTCAACATCAGTAACATCTCCCAACATTATATCCCCTACCTGATCAAAACGTTCAGAAATCCATTTTGGGAAGTATATCTGACTTGATTGGTCAGCAAATGCATTTAAGTTCCTTCTCCTTCCCACCATTTCCATCAACAACATTCCAAAGCTATAGACATCAGCTTTGTATGAGATGCCTCCAATATTCTTGTAGAATAATTCTGGAGCCATGTATCCTAGAGTACCTCTTGCTGCAGTAAGAGATACAATACTGTCATCTGTCGGATACAATTTTGCAAGGCCAAAATCTGACACTTTGGGATTAAAGTTCTCATCCAAAAGGATGTTGTGTGGCTTGATATCAAAATGTAGAATCTGCATTTCGCATCCTCGATGTAAGTATTCAATCCCCTTAGCCACTCCAAGAGCAATTTCAAACATTCTTTGACAGGTTAAAGATGTGTTGTTTTCACCAGAAAATATGATTTTATCCAAGGATCCATTTGGCATGAAATCATATACAAGAGCTCGTTGAGATCCCTCCACACAAAATCCGATCAATCGCACCACATTAACATGATGAACCCTTCCAATGGTAGCAACTTCATTGATGAAATCTTGGCCATTAGCTCTTGACTTGCCCAATAATTTTATTGCCACAAAATGGCCACTCCGAAGCTTTCCTTTGAAAACAGAACCATAACCACCTTCACCTAATTTATCTTTGAAACCTCTGGTCATTTTCTTTATTTTAAAATAAGAGTACTTAATAGGCATGAAGTTGTTCTGTTTTTGAAGGAACTCTTCAATTGTATCATCTGCAGACAAATGTCTCCTGCGAAGCTTGTACACAATAACTGCAATCATGATGGATAACCCCAGCAAAGTTCTTGGCAAGATAAGTCCACCTTATCACAAAAAATTTAAGAACAGGATCACATTACATGGTTATATATCAATATTACCCACAAAATAGTTCTTTTGGTTTTTTTTTTTAATGTAAAATTGAGACTGACCTGTTACTTAAAGAACTATGAGATTGGAATCTATTAGAATAACAAAATGACAAAAACACGTAAGCACATAAACATACGGTACCAAGGAATGAGAATTAATTCCCAGTAAAGATTGAATTAGAAAAGCATACCTTTATAGTTGTCATGGTAAAAATAGTAATCATCACCTCCAATTAAATATACAAAGTCGATGAGCGCAATTAACACAATTTCCAGCGCAGAAACCACTTTGTACAAACTGAAATATACATTCGGCACAAGATAAGCATGAAGAGATATATATCAGTATACCGTAAGCGATGGATAAAAGAATGAAGATGATTTGAAGAACATCAAACCGATTTAAGGTTTTGGTAAAGATGTTCAGATAATTATATGAAACCGAAGAGCATCAAAAACAAGGTTTGCTCCATAACAATAATCCTAATATTGGCCCCTCAATTAAGTTGTTAATCTTCTAAACAAGTTGGGAATCTCATACCGAACCAGCTGGAACGGCTAGTACATACCGGATTTGTCATAAAACCGATATACTATAGGGCATTATACTGTACTAGTTAATTTCTTAGTGGTACCGGTCGAAAAGTAGCATATCGGGCGAAATAACGTGTACAGGCTAATATGTAAATTCCGGCCGGTGCAAATTTGTAAGCCATTTTTACACACAAAAAAAAAATTTTGAAAAAGAGGGAGGAGGCTGTGAGTCTCTGACTGTGAGGGTGATGCTGAATTGTCAGGGGTTACGTAAAGGGGAAAATGGAGGTGAAAAAATTGGAGGCGGTGCCGGTACTATGTGGCCAGCACTGGTTTAATCGAATTTACAGAGATAATGAGAGGAGGAGAGAGTTGAGAAACATTGTAATCTCTGGTTTAATTGATTTTTGCGATAGGAGGGAAAACAAAGTTGAAGTAGACTGTAATCCTAAGTTTTAGACTTCCAATTTCTTTGTTGGGTGACTGAGTATTTGGGGGAAGGGGACGAAGATGAGAGAGAAGGCACGCTATTTTTTGATTAAGTTTTGAATGAAATGTTGAGAGATGGCATAGGCATAGACACGTGGTTGGTGAGGGTGAGATTTAGATGAGATATTTATTGAGACACAGGATGATGATGAACCACATTAAGGACAAAAAAATGAGTATCCTTCCATTTTCTGAAAAATTTCATAATGACTCACGCAAGTTAATCATTTTAAATTTAAATACTAACAATGAATTATGTTTTCTAAATATTAATAATATTATTTTTTGGGTCTACAAATTAATATTTTAAGACATTAATTTTATTTTTTTATGTTTAACAAGCATCATTTTATAAGTTTATAATTAATTTATACAAAAATATATATTCATGATGATAAATTAAATATAATATATAATATAATTTAATATATAAGATGATATATAATATAGTTTAATATATAAGATATACTGTATCAATAAAAAAAATTGATATATATACTCATATAATATTAACAATCTTGCTTCTAAATCAAGGCCTAACTTCCCTTCCAAATACGTTCCTTAGAGTAAATTTCATGCCATTTAAGTCCCTTTTACTACATTGTTTCATTTACCAAAAAGCAAAAGCAAAAGTGAATTTTCTTCTGTTCTCTAGTTAGGGTATGTAATTTTTTGATTAATGAATGTGCAGTAGAAGGAAGCGGCTTATTTGATACTGAATTAATTTTGACAGACTTATTTTCTTCCAAAGGCTTCAAGCGTTAATTAATTTTTAAAGTACATTCTCTACGTCTTCTCAAGGTTTATTTCTCCTCACTTATCTGTCTCGAACTCTTACCTTCTCAAATGTGAAAACTGCAATGGCCCAGAAAAACTAATTTGAATCCTTTCACTGAATTTCTCCGTCTCTACAGATTCTGACGTCGATAATTAAGTTACTTTTTTTTAATATTATTTATTTATCACAATTTTAAGTCATTTCTTATATCTGATTTGTTCACGTCACAAGGTGTTTGGCTAAGAACATGACTATTAATAATTTTATTAATGTCACCAATATTAATTTACTACAGGAATCTTGGGATTTATCTGCGCTTTATTTCAAGTGTTTACCATATGTGTTGGGAATTTTAATTTGAGGTAGAGTGCTTTTTGAGTGTTTCATTTTTGCGTTTGCAAATATTATCCATTTCCAAGAGCGCTAGAAAAGCGCCTGTAACTTTGGAAAATAAAATAAACGTGGACATCATGTCAGAATCCCTTCAAAATTCAGTCCCCGCGTTATTTTTCCGAAACCCCGCGTCCCAAAACAAAGTCTTTCATTACTAGTGTCTTATTTTTGTCCCAAAGCCCAAAATCACCCTTTCTTTCAATCTTTCGGTTCTTTTCTATTTCATTGCTATTTCTTTTCGTTCTTTTCATTTCCAAAATCTCTGTTTCATTTCCAGAGTCTCTCCCTTGGGTAGGCAGAAACCGTAAACCAATTGTGGTAGGTAAGCTTCAAATCTCTCCATTAGGTTTCAGCAGTTGTAGCTTCAATTTTGATTTTGATTTCTCTTCGAACCTGATATTCATTTTGATTTCGCGTTATCCTTTGTGGCTTCTCCTTTGAATCTCATCAAGTACTTCAGGTTTGTGTCTTCTTCTTAGATTTCCAAAATCCCCTGTTTATGAGTCTGAAATTTGAGAATTGAACATTAAGCGGTGGCGATGAGATAGTTAAGGTAACGAACCTCATCGTTTGGTTGTGCAGGAAACAATCGAGGGAGGTGGGAGGTGTGGTTGAGCAGCTGGAGTGTCCTTTGCCCCAAAGCTGCAAATATCGAGGCTGCAGCCTTGTGCTATTTTGTTGCCACCACAATCGCTTTTTAGCTCCGAGCATATCTCTTTCTTTCAGATCTCCTAGGTTTACTTTTTCATTAGATTCATGTCTTTTCATCTCCTGTTTGCTAAATCATTTTGGTGGAGTTCTCTGGCATTGGAAACATTAGATCTTCTTTCTTCACTTTCTGCATTTTTTTTGTTTCCAATTCAACTTTATATTTGTTTTTTTGTGATTTAGTTTTGTGATTTAGCTTAAGTTTCGGAAGTTGCTGTTAAATATATTGTGATGTTTTCCAAGTTCAATATTAGCGTATTGCTAGTCATTCTTTATTTTCTAATTTCAACAACATCATTATGGCTTGGACCTTTATTTTCTTATTTAATTTAAGCTTAATGTGAGTTGAATTCTATGTTGGTGCAGGCCATTGACACTTGCTTAAGCAGCTAAGCTTAGGAGAACAACAATTGCGCTAAGGAGAAGGAACTTTCAAATTGTGAGTCTATTTCTCAATTTTGGTCATTATTAATTAAATGAAATAGTTTCTTAAATCTTTTGGGTTGGGTTATGGGAAGATTGCAGCTTGTCCAAATGACTGTATGTTGTACTGGGGAGATAGGAAGAATCAAGAAGAGTGTCATGCTTGTGGGTTATCAAGATGGGATTCTATTTCTAATGATGGTAAGAAGAAGAAACATGCAAAAATCTTGAGATATTTTCCTCTCATTCTAAGGCTCCAGCGTTTGTTCATGTCATCCAAAACCTCTTCTTTATTGAGATGCACACTAACATATTTCCACCACTCATTTAGCAACTGTAACTGTCTGTAATTTTTTGAATGAACCCCTAGCTTTATATTGGAATTGTCTTATTCTTCATCATATGGAGAGATTAAATACATATAATACATGAAATATTTATCTAATGGCACACATATTAGACCATGACTAGGATTTGTTACGTTATACTATTTTCTGACTATAAGGTTGTAGCCCTGCGGAGGGCTTTCTTTGTCAAATGGATTATATTTGACTATGAAATTGTGCATTTTGTGTGTTTGAAAAAGGATAATAAGCCAGTTGGCAGTATTACGGGAATTCACTATTATAGTAAGTAATGCTTGCAGAAAGGGGATATTGTGTTGATATGATTTTTTAGGAATATTGATTTTTTTTTTCTTTTGTTCACCAATTTTAATGATTTCTGTTCTGTAAATCAGTAGCAGCTTGCATTTGAAGCAATGGTGAGGGTTTGTGTCTTGAATGATGCTCTCAAGAGCATGTACAATGCAGAGAAAAGGGGTAAAAGACAAGTCATGATCAAGCCATCCTCAAAAGTGATTATCAAGTTCCTTTTGGTCATGTAGAAACATGGTTTGCCTGTTATCCCTTTCTATACAAGCCTTAGATAAAACTGTATTAACATCTGAATATCTTCTTTTCTTATGATTGGTCATGTAGGTTATATTGGAGAGTTTGAGTATGTTGATGATCACAGAGTTGGAAAAATTGTGGTTGAATGGAGGTAGGTATTTGAACATGTGTACCACTTCTAATTGTTGCATAATATTTATGTTATATGGCTTCCCTGCTAATGGTATCCTACAAATAATCCTTTTAACTTAATTTTTATTTTAAAGATTGGTGGGTGTTTATGAGAATGAGACATGGGGATGGCTACACATTAGTTGATAACATGAATCTGTTCAAGGATTTAATTCCAGGTTTTCATAGAATGTGTTTTCTAATATTTATGTGTAATTCTCTTCTGAGGTACTAGACCACTTCTGATTCTATAATTTTCCTTGACAAAGTGTTAGTATGTAGAGTGCTATTAGTTAGGATATTTTAGGTTCTTTATCATTTGAGTCCTGCGTTCTGCATGCTGTTTGTTTGTTAGCTTATTGCCATGTCTTGAATGAATATATTTGAATCCAGAATTAAATAGTTTAGAATCCTGAAAACAGAGTATGCAGGGCTAAAAAAAAGTGATTTTAAGCGTTTCTTTGAGTGCCTATATAGCTCAATTTCAGGTGCTTGAAAATTAGGATACTTTTCTGACCCTAAAAAATTATACTTGGGGTACAGTTTCAGTGTCTGAAAATAACATAATTGCAGGCGCTTTAAAAAGTGCCTGCAAATTAGTTCATGGTAGGCACTTTTTGGTTTTTGCAGGCGCTTCATAAGTGCCTGTAAATTAGGTTATTGCAGATGCTTTAGAAAGCGCCTGCAAATTAGATTACATTTAGGCGTTTTGACGTTCGCCCACTGCACTCTTTCTCGACACATGATTTGCAAGCCCCATATAGGCGCTTTTTTAAGCGCTGCTATGGTTTTGCAAGCACACAAAGCACCTGCAATCACCTCCTTTGAGTGCCAGCAAAAGCAGTAACCTTTGTAGTGATTGTAATTTTATTAATTTACATAGATTTTTTTAACAGTTAGTTGTAATATTTAAAAATATTTATTTATAAATTAATTTTAATTTATTAAATAATAAATATTAATTATTTGATTAATTATCAATTCTTTTTATACAAAATTTTTTAATAATTAATTATAATATTTAAAAATATTTATTTGTAATTAATTTTAATTAATTAAATAGTATATATTAACTATTTTATCAATTATTAATTATTTTTAATTATTACATTCAAATAAAAGGATTTGAATGACCTTAGGAAAATAAATTATGACAATGGGTTCAAGTCATAATCAAGCTTACTGTTGGCAAATAAAGTCATTATTTCATCTTTTCTTGCTCCTGAACAGTATGTGTTGTTTTTAGTATTTTAATTATATATAAAATTATTTTAACAATAAATTTTTTTAAA